CTGTTTGGAAGGTTCTTAACATCTACAAAATCAATAATAAAGCACTTCTGAAAGTAGTTAAGAGAAGAAATGCCGTGTTTCCCCGAAAATAAGACTGGGTCTTATTTTTTATTTATTTATTTTTTGCCTCCAAAAGGGGCACTAGGTCTTATTTTCAGAGTAGGCCTTACCTTACCTTCGGCACCAACAGCCCCACCCAGCCGGACCACTTCTTCTGAGGCCGAAGTTCTGCAGTTACATTCGGGCCTGCATTTTGCAGTCAGGCCTTTCCAGAAGGCCTAAAGCAGCCAAATACTGAGTTATGGATTCAATCCATAGCTTGGTGCTGGGCTGCTGAGGTCTTGCAGAACCGAGCTATGGATTGAAGCCATAGCTCGGTTCTTCGCTGCAAAGGCCTTCCAGAAAACCTTGTGACTGAGAAATGCAGGCCTGGCTGCAGAAGAGGCCTCAGAAGAAAAAGGGGGCTGGCAAGGAGAGGTCTGGCTGCAAGGTAAGTGGGTGTGGGGCAGGTGGGGCAGCTCCACACCCCCATGCCTGCCCTAGCTTTGTTTTTAGGTGTGTGCCTCGCTCCAAAACTAGGGTTTATTTTTGGGATAGGGCTTATATTAGGCCCACCCCCAAAAATCAAGCTAGGGCTTATTGTTGGTGTAGGCCTTACTTTCGGGGAAACATGGTAGATGAACTAGTGTCTCTATGAAGATGCTGAATTATGGTTTAGGCAATGATTTTTCCCCAGGTCCCCCAGCTCTCAAATCTACTGGAGATTGCTTTTTAGTGTCTCTTCACTGGAAGATTCTCCATGGAACAAACTTGTGGATAATCCTCTCCTTAATTTGGGAAGCAGTTTTGAGGAACCAATTCATTCACTGGTTCCTTTTTTCATCACATTTTTTCAATTCTGCAAAAGCAGACCCATGTTCAGTCTACCATTGCTATCCTCCTGGAAATTTTATATGTTTTATGCACTCAGTAATGGCTATTAAGAAACAACAAGAGTATATCCTTTATCCAAAATTTCATGTAGTTAAAATTGAGGAATGATTTCAGATATGGGGTAAATTTCAGATGTGGCTGAAGTGATAATTTATGAGAATTGACTTATG